GAGGGTGGGGTTGTACATTCTTTCATATATTGCCTCTTTAACACCCCGTTCCCACCAGCGTGTTTCGCGGTCTAAGACATCCGTGGACTCGAGTTTGAAAGAGTGACCCTGGTTGTGTTGTAGGTGGTGGAAAATAGCTGAGGAGTAGCCGTTGGCACTAGGTCGGCAATGTTCTTTGTACCTTACTTTAAGCGGTCGACTTGTCTCTCCGATGTAGGTGTTGTTACAATTGGGGCTCCTCACATTTGAGTCTGTAAATAACATTCGCCTTGGTACCCTTGTGAGGTCGGTCCTTAGGGTGTACCAGTCTTTGTCTGAGGGTTGAGTGAGGTTTGAAGTTAGTGGCTATGTTGAAGTTTTGGAAGATCCGTCGGAGTTTCTCAGATACTCCTTGGACATACGGAATAGTGATGTTGGCCTTGTTTTTGTTGGTCAATGGTTTGCACTTCTGGGTTTTCTTAGACTGATCTGAAGGTTTGAGCGCTTTGTTGAAAGTCCAGTTTTGGTAGCCACATTTAGCCAGGGCACCTCGGAGGTGTCTTTGTTCGTCCGTTTTGGCTTGGTCTGAAGTGACAATGTTGTCTGCACGATGGAAAAGAGTTTTGATCACTGCTAGTTTGTGTTCCAAAGGGTGGTGGGAATCAAAAGCCAGGTACTGATCAGTGTGGGTTGGTTTCCTGTACACTTCGAAACGAAGGTTACCATCTTCCTCTACGATAGTTTTGGTGTCTAGGAAAGGGAGCATGTTGTCATGGCTTGGCTCCTGTGTGAACTTGATGTTGTCATCTATCTGGTTGATGTGGTCAAAGAAGTCAGCAGCTACCCTCTTTTTCAATCTGCACCAAGTGTCATCTACATATCGAAACCAGTTGGCCGGGGGAGTGTCCTTGAAAGTGCTGAGGGCTTTGTTTTCAAACTTCTCCATGTACAGGTTTACAACAATTGGTGAGACTGGTGATCCCATAGCACAGCCGTGCATTTGTTGGTAGAACTGTCCTTTGTAGGTAAAGTATGTGCATCCTAAGCAGAGTTCTAGTAGCTCACAAACTTGGTCAACGGATAGGTTGGTTCTATCTGCAAGTGTATCATCGGCTTCCAAGGCTTCCTTGACTACTGACACTGCTTCCTTGGGTGGTATGGAGGTGAAAAGTGAGCAAACGTCATACGAAGTGATGGTTTCATCATCCTCTACATGAATGTCTTTGATTTTGTTGACAAAGTCGGCACTATTCTGTACATGGTGCTGAGATTTCCCCACTAGTGGTCCTAAAAAATCTTGGCTAGAAAACCTGCTAACTCATATGTGACAGAGCCTATACTGGAGACTATGGGTCGTAGAGGGACACTTTGTTTGTGGATTTTGGGAAGGCGTAGGAAGCAGGGGGTTGTTCCGTTGTGGGATT